GATGAGAATGGAGGGGAAGAAGATTAAGATGATGTTCAAGGGGAAGAAGGTGAGGAGGATGAAGGAGATGACTAACAGAAAACACTGATAGGTTTTAACTTTTTTTTTTTAATTTTCACCAGTCCCTGGGAGCAACTTGCCATCTTCCTATTTTTATTTTTTCCCTCTTGTTCTTAGTCTCCCTGTTTTTGAGGTCTCTTTTCTCTATACCACAGTTCATAGCATACAACAAATTAATTTTTATCCCTTCTTGTCTTGACAAAAACAGTATAGAATCAACACCACAGTGCTCTGTGGTAAAAAGAAAACTTCCTGCTCACTTTGCTCTGCTAGAAGCAGGGGTGCGGGAGGCCGTTGTGTAGGAGGGCATAGAATTCTAGCTTTTCTCCTCCTTTCTCTGTATATTGGCTCAGAGATTACATGGTGTCTGAATGTGAATATGGACAGTCAGCATTTACCAACATGTATCTGTCTACTTTCTCTTGTTTAAAAAATGAAAAAAAATATTAAAATTGGGGTTATGGAATGTCAGCAAAGGGTGAGTTTGAGACATTTGGGTAGGTTAAGTGGGCATTTTGATGACATGGATTCTCCTTTGGCATGTTTAATTGTACAGTTTATGATTATGCTTTTTTTAAAAAGATTTTATTTATTTATTTGACAGGCAGAGTTACAGACAGTGAAAGAGAGACAGAGAGAAAGGTCTTCCTTCCATTGGTTCACTCCCCAAGTGGCTGCAACAGCTGGAGCTGCACTTATCTGAAACCAGGAGCCAGGTGCTTCCTCCCGGTCTCCCATGTGGGTGTAGGGGCCCAAGCACCTGAGCTATTCTCCACTGCTTTCCCAGGCCACACCAGAGAGCTGGACTGGAAGAGGAGCAACCGGGACTAGAACTGTGCCAATATAGGATGCCAACGCTGCAGTTGGAGGATTAACCTAGTGCGCCACAGCGCCGGCAATGATACTTTTAAAAATGGAATTTTCCCTAATGATGACTTGAGTTTTGCCAAGTGATAGGAGAATCAGCAGAACTTGTAGGCTCTTATTTGGAATTGACATCCTCTACTGTAATTTTGTTCCTATTTATTTTTGAATTCTCTTTTTGTTTCACTGGAAAAGAAAGATGTTCAGTTTTAAACATTAAAAGTGTACAAGTTGCTTTTTTACACTAAAATTAAATGTGTACACACACACACACACACACACACACACACAATAAGAACCCCAGGCACTGGATCCACATTTCCTAAATCTGCTGCTTGACCCATCGATCTTGGATGGAATAAGCTTCCCTGAAGCTATAGGCAGCCAATAGAAACCAGGGGCTCTTTGTAATGGCAAAAGGAAAAACGAATAATTTCCAAGTGGTCCTTAATATTTGCCATGCATGTTTAGATTGTGTCATAAAAGCAATAAGAAGTCATTAAATTGAGTGAAAGAAGAATCCACTCAGATTTTTTATCTGAGAAACAGCACTCTTCATACATTGTGAGGAAAAGAGTGAAGTCAATAGTGTCCGGTATTGTGCAAGGCACATAAAGCCACCGCCTGCAACACCAGCATCCCCTCTGGGTGCCTGTTCATGTCCCAGCTGTTCCACTTGTGATCCAGCTCCTTGCTAATGGCCTGGGAAAAGCAGCAGAAGATGGTCCGAGTGCTTGGGTCCTCACTATCCACATGGGAGACCTGGATGAAGCTCCCTGGCTCCTGGGCTTCATTATGGCTCAGCCCTGGGCTTTGTGGCCACCTGGGGAGTGAACCAGTGGATGGAAGATTCCCCCCCCCCCAATGTCTCTCTCTGTGTAACTCTGACTTTCAAAGGAAGGAAGCGAAGGAAGGAAGGAAGGAAGGATGGAAGGAAGGAAGGAAGGAAAACCTGATGGGGCTATTGGTTGTGGGATTTTTAAGCACAATTTTGGGGGAAAAATAACCTGAAAATCAGATACAAGGTAGGGACAAAACCCATCAAAAGACCTGATTTGTAAACTTATTTGCCCTTTCTGGTTTGCTCCTGATAAAACAAAAGAGCCATCAGAAAAGGTGAGCTAGGTAATTTGTTTTCAGAGTAAACTATGAGATCAGAAGGATGGACTCACCACTCCTTTGTTATTCTCATAGAAGGTCAAGGTCATTAGAAGGTCAATGAGTGAGAAAGGTATTCAACCTTGTTAAAGATAACTTTTGGGGAAGGCAACCATTTTGTACTCTACTAGAGGGACTCCTCTTCCCTCATTTTTCCACCAGGACCTACCTGATTGTTGATTGACCAGTCTGATTGCTCACAGTGCTAGCAGAAGAGATAGGCTGAAAAAAGATTCAGGGGCCAGTGTCGTGGCACAGCATGTTAAGTTACCACCTACAATGCTGATAACCCTTATGAGCACACATTCAAGTCCCAGAGGCTCAATTTCTGATCCAGCTCCCTGCTAATGTCCCCAGGAAAGCATTAGAAGATGACCCAAGTGTTTGAGCCTCTGCCACCCCCATGGGAAACCTGGATGGAGTTCCAAGCTCCAGGCTTCTGCCTGGCCTAGTCCTGGCCATTGCAGCCTTTTTGGTTGAGAATTAGCAGATGGACGATCTCTCTCTCTATTTCGCTCCTCTCTTTCTCTTTCTCCTTCTCCTGCTATAACTCTGCTTTTCAAATAATTTTTTTTAAAAAAATAGAAAAAAAGATTCAAGGGGTATTTAATGGTTATAGTTAGAATAGAACATCATTGGCAAATATTTGGAATTAGAAATGAAAGAAAGAAAAATTTAGAGATTATCTCCATGTGTCATGACTGGTAATGTGGGCATGCATAGTTGTTCACTGGAAATGAAGGAGGGGGGCTGGCGCTGTGGAGTAGTGGGTTAACGCCTGGCCTGAAGCACTGGCATCCCATATGGGCACTGGTTGTAGTCCTGGCTGCTCCACTTCCAATCCAGCTCTCTGCTATGGCCTGGGAAAGCAGTAGAAGATGGCCCAAGTCTTTGGGCCCCTGCACCTATGTGGGAGACCTGGAGGAAGCTCCTGGCTGCTGGCTTCGGATCAGCGCAGTTCCAGCTGTTGCGGCCAAATGGGGAGTGAACCATCGATGGAAGACCTCTCTCTCTCTCTGCCTCTCCTCTCTCTGTGTAACTCTGATTCTCAAGTAAAAAAATAAATAAATCTTTAAAAAAAAGAAAAAAATGAAGGAGGAAAACAATTTGTGACGGGAAATTATGAATATTAAGTTGCTAAATAAGTTGGTCATAACTTTGACATTCTTTCATTTCTTGAGCTCTTATTTTTAGGAGATATTTAAGATATTTTTATAAAGTAAAAATGGAAGTAAAGTGTAAAATTAAATAAACATTTAGTAATTAGGAGCAAAGGACACATTTAATTTTTGTTGTTAAGTTTTTGTTTCATAATTGCTAAATGCTGATATTATTGTTCTTCTAGTAAAAGATTAAAGGGAAAAGTAAAGACACCAAGTACATATAATAAATCATGTTTTTCCTTTAAAAAGCAACATACATGTATATCAAACATCACCTGCTTTGATAGTAGAGAAAGATAATGGATTAAGAATTGGATATGTCCTGATTCAGTAAATAAAGGAGCAAGCATCGATTTGGATAACATCAAGGTCAAACAGTGACACACACAAAGAAAATAGAACAAGACTTAAAAAGAAGTTTATCACACTACAAATATTAATGCAACAAGACACCTTAGATGTCTATGCGAAAGAAAGGAAGCATTTTTGCATAGGACAGTGATTACCTGATATATCACTTGGAAGAAAAGGGCTATGCAGTAAGATTAGCAGCTGCAATACGGAACTGATTCAGCAGCAGATGTGAGGCATAACTTGTTGTTTCCAAATTTGCTAGAGGGATAGAACCTTATTAAGAAGGAAGCTGAAACTGGGTTATACAATAATGAAGTAGGGAAAAGGCACAGCTAAACCATACTGCATAATAAATCAGGGGAAATTTGGGGGTAGAACAGAGAAGTATAGGGAGAAAAGGAAAAGGAAGAGAAAGAGGGTGGAACAGAGGGAGGGAGGGGAGAATGTGGGACAGAGAGAAGGAGAGGGTAACCACAGGATAACTTTCTTGTGGTCTATAGTGTAAGGAAAATGTTTCATAAGAGTGAGGATTAATGTTTAATTTTAAACTATTTTCACTAGTATAATATTTAACTGCTATTGTCTCCAATACTATCAGGAAATTCTGATACACTGAAATGTCTTTGTGTGATAATGTTGAGTAAAATGAGCAGAGCAGTGTAAGGAAGTGTGGTCTTCCCTAAAAACAGCCTTTTCTATCAGCCCCTGGGTAGGCACCACCATCTTCTCAAGTGGCAAGATGAACACAGTTCCAGGGTTCCAGGTTTTTTGTGTCATGGCAGGGTTCTCCGGGATTAGGTTACAGCCTAAAAATTCAAAGTGAGATTATATTTACATAATATTATTCATTCCTGTAGTCAACAATACAATCAATTACCCATGGTATAAACGAGAATGTTTCAATTAAGCAGTTGCTGTGTATAATTGACCTAAGGACAACTGTGGCACAAATATACAAACTTAATCACATCAATAGTGAGTGAACTTCAATGGAGAAGCCTGACATCCTTGTTACTAGAATATTTCTATTCAAAATTCACAAGTTTTAAGGTGTTTCCAATGTCCACCAATACTATAAGGATATGGGACAAAAATTCCAACCCTATCCTAATGCTCCAGGTATGATTTTTAAGCAAAGCACCTGATGATGTAGGCAGAGTCCATTTCACTCAATTATAAGTTGGAGTGCTTCAACTGGATGATTGTCCAGGTTCTTTCCCAGTCCAAATAACCCATGTTTATGATGCCAACTATATTATGACTTTATTCTAATACATGGCACTACTATTATAGCTGTGGCATTTTTTAAAAAAGATTTTTATTAAGCCACTTTTAAATAAGACAAAATTGTATATAAGATGTGCCAAACCATTAAGGATCATTTTATTTTTATTTTTATTTATTTGACAGAGTTAGACAGTGAGAGAGAGAGAGAGACAGAGAGAAAGGTCTTCCTTCCATTGGTTCACCCCCCAAATGGTCACTACTGCCGGAGCTACGCTGATCCGAAGCCAGCAGCCAGGAGCTTCTTCCCGGTCTCCCATGCGGGTGCAGGGCCCAAGCACTTGGGCCATCCTCCACTGCCTTCCCGGGCCACAGCAGAAAGCTGGACTGGAAGAGGAGCAACCGGGACTAGAACCAGCGCCCATATGGGATGCTGGCGCTGCAGATGGAGGATTAACCAAGTGAGCCATGAAGCTGGTCCCAGGATCATTGTTTTTTAAAGTATGCAGCTTCTTTTCTCAGATAAAAGAGGGAGTCCAAGATGACCTATGGAAACAATGATCTTTGGTAGCATCTCACTCTATCATCCTTCCCATTTATATGACTCTTACACGTTCCCAAATCTGAGTTTTCTTTCAGAAAACTCAAAGTATAGTTATTTCTAATTGACAGGACAGATACACATATACACATTGTGTACCTTTTTTTTTTCAGAAAATTTATTGGTTTACCTATTAAAACCTGTAATTATTTAATTACCAGTAGTAAGAGCTAAGTTTAAGAATAACTCAAACTACAACACCCACCCCCTTTCCAGGAAACTCATAAGTAAAATATGAACATCTAAATAATAGAAAATATTTTATAGGAAAATAGCAAAAAGTATACAAAAAATGGCAGCAACTGCTCTAGTTTAATTATCTACAACATTTATAGCTCTATAAAATGGGAATAGTCATAATACCTAATATAGAGCATTACTGTAGGCATCAAATAATATAATGTTTATAGAGCTCTTGGCACATTAAAATTTTCCGTAAATTATACCTATGAGTGTTCATGGCAGGTCTAAATATATCAATTTTAAGATGAGAAAACTGAGGCCAAAATTTTGCAACTTGTAAGTGGTGGAGATGATATTCTGACTAAAAATAATATGAATTCAGAAGCATTAGACTCAACTCATGTACTATAACATCTCCCCTATAAACCAATACCATGCCTATAACTTCTTGGATATGGTGAGCAAAAGGTTTTCTGACAATCAACTATTGGATCACACAGTGAAAAGAAGTATAGAATTTGAAAATAAATATTGCAGAATAACTGTGGTAAACTAATTCTACCAGTGCAATGAATTGGGTGATCTAAAATTCTTTGCAGCAGGTGGTGAATCTTAAGAACTAATTCTTTATTCCAGGTATGTGATGTAGCCAGTTGGATGAAAAAAACAGGAAAGGAATTAAACATATTCAATGGAGCAGGGCAACCTTATTACAAGCAGCAGTTGGAAGCACAGTCAAGCTGGCATAATATTTAAATAGTAACAGTTAGGTGGCAATTCAGGTAAGTGACGCCTACAAAAACAGAACAGATGTCCTCAAAGGCAAGTATAGAAACAAAATTAGGAAGTCTGGTGGCAGGAAAAATGAAAGAGTAGCAAGTGTTAAAATACAGCAAGTGCAGTGAAACACTACCATAATGCTATAAGTGAGATGGAAAAAATAAATAACCTTAAGAATGTCAAGCTACAATGTGTGACATTAATGAAATGACTAGGGTGAGGCTGCTGCACAGGATGGTAGCTAATTGCCAACCACATTCTATTCAAGTTTCCATTATTGTAGGATACAGTTTGTCAATGTTTCACTGTACTGACTACACTCCCAGTTAAACTCTAAGTGCTTTGCTTTTTGTAACTAATTTAATCCCCACTAAAAACTCCAGAGGTGGTATTATTGCCTCCATTTACCTAGATGAGGAAACTGAAGAACAAGGAGATTTGTAGCTCACCTAAGATCACATTGCCAATAAAGGGCATAGCTAAACTAGAACTCCGGCCACCCCAGCTTTGAAGCCTAGACTCAAAAACCACTACAAAACTCCACTACAAAACTCAGATTGTAACTTACTCCCCTATCAGCAATAATGAGAGGTGTGGCCTTTGGGAAACCATAAACTTCTGAGGGCTCTGCCCTTGTGAATGAGGTTAGAGACCTCTCCCCTTCAAGAAAAGAAAAATGAATGGAAAGAACTACCTAGTCTTTTGTTTGTTTGCTTTGCTTTGCTACTTCCCAATATGTGCAGACATGGTGTACACCCAGCTGTGTCTTATAAGGATGCAGCATCAAGACACTGTCTTAGAAACAGAGCCCAGGCCCTCACCAGTCACTCAACCTGCCAGCACCTTGGTGTTGGACTTCCAATCTACACATATGTGAGAAATAAATTTCTGCTCCTCATAAATTACCCCGTCTCAGGTTTTGTTATAGTGGCAGGAACAGACAGATTAAGACAAATTCTATGTATGCACGGTTGACAGCATGGAATCTAGCAGCACATAACAAGACTCCTGGTATAAGGTTAGGGATTTAAGGTAGAAGGTCAGAGCTGTAGTCCTGATGACACAATAAATGTGAAGCAGCTATAACAGTGTATAGTATGGTATAATCATTCAATAAATGTTAGCTATGAAAATAATAATTGTTATTGCTATTACAACAAGAATAGATGGAGAGAGCTATGTACTGAACTATGTTCTTCCAAAATTCAGGCTGAAATCTCAATCCCTAGCACTTCAGGATGTGACTATATTTGTCTCTGAAGAGGTAATTGTGTTAAAATTAAGTTATTAGAATGGGCTGTAATCCATACAAGTGTCATTATCAGAAGACTATAACACAATGGACAGAGGGAAGAGTAGATGAAGACCCAGGGAAATGATGGCCATCTGTAAGCCAAGATAGGGGGCATCAGAAGAACCTAACCTTGCCCACACCTTGATCTCAGACTTGTAGTTGCTAGCACTGTGATAAAATAATTTTTTTGTATTTAAGCTATTCAAGCTGTGGTGTTTTGTTACAACATCACTAAGAACTAAGTGGTGGGAAACAACATGGCCAGAAAACAAAATTAGAACTACTCAGCATTACACTCCTTATGAAAAGGAATGGGGCAAACATTGAAATAACCTACACAATGGGGATGGACTCCAGGGAAGATCTCAATTACCAAGTCTGACACAAGGATAACCATAACTAATAATAAATTAATAATATGCTAAGCTACAGCCATGCAACTGCTAAAATATCCTCTGTTAAGGCTATGATTGGCGCTTGGGGTAGGGGAAGAGATATCTTCAGTGGAGTGTTACACATGCACAACTGAACAGGCACAAAAGTACAGAGCCACTTAATTCTTAAGGAACATGCCAATGTCAGATACATCAAAGCAATCTTATTTTAAATCCTTGTAATTGAAGCCTCTGCATAGTTAGGCCCAAACTAGGTCTCTGCAGCTGCATTTTGTCTATAAGCCAGCTTGTTTCAATGATGAATGCCTCAAAATAATATTGAAAATTGCCTGAAACATAATATTGTCCAGAAATCTAAATCAAAAATTCATGAGAGGACACATATCTGCTTAATTCTGGGGGATGGGCATTGTGGCTCAGTGAATTAAGTCACCATTTGGGACACCCTCATACTATATTGTAATGCTTTGTTTGAGTCCTTGCTCTGCTTTCAATCCAGTTTCCAGCTAGTGCATACCCTGGGAGGCAGCAGATGATGGCTCAAGTACCAAGTCACTGTCACCCATATGGGAAACCCAGATTGAGTTCTTGGCTCCTGACTTTGACCTGGCCCAGCTCTGGCTGTTGCAGGCCTGTGAAAAGTGAATCAGCAGAGGAAAGATCTGTTTCTTCAGCCCTTTCTCTCTGTGCTACTCAGCCTTTCAAATAAATTAAAATGAGCAAATAAACATTAAGAAACCAAATCTTCATTTTGAATTAATAATATGCTTTAAATGGACACTAATACTTTGTGTTTTCTGTAAACACAGAAGATATATGTATATTTCCAACTATAACTGTAGGTAAGTAATATGCCTTTCACTGAATTGATGGAATATAACAGAATAATGTCATTAACAGTGGTCATTTCCTTTCCTGTGTTGACCATCACACACAAAGATCACTGTATCTAAAACCAATGGAACTAAAATAAGAAGGTCTTTTAATGAGTAATTGCTTTGAATAAATATTTAATAATGTGATTGCACGCATTGCATGCATTAAAAAAGTTTAAATGAGTGTAAGTCAACTTAAAGTCAATTAGTGAGATTATAACCAGGCACAATTTCAGGACATTACAAATGTATGTAATGTGGATCAACAAACAATTGAACATCTTTTGAATATGGAGGCTTTCCATGGTTAGCATGTGATTACAACAAAACAAATGGGCAAAAGTGCTAAAGCACAACCTAAATACTCACCCTTTGGGCATATTCAGCTTCAACAGATGTTACATAGTTTTCAGAGGTCTAATGGTAAGACTTAGTAGAAACAAATTCCATTCATCAAGAAGTGATCTCCATTCAGGACCAATGAAACTGAAAACAGAATATTATAACAATCAAAATTGTAAAGGCCATTATTATTGCTCTGGGATTCTAAGTAAAGAAAGTTTTAAGGAATTTCCTTTTTTTAGCTTTATTATTTAATTAGTATATATGGAGCATTTAATTTTTTTATTTTTTAACAATATTTATTTATCTATGTGAAAAAAATCAGCCACAGGAAGGAGAGACAGACAGAGAGTGTGGGGAAATTAGGCACAGGAGACAATTCAAAGATGGCGCCTGCAGGGAAATTAGTTACACTTGGCAATTCAAAGATGGCGCCCAAAGGAAGCAAGGTGGGCAGTACCCAAAGTCGTTTACCACCAAAGCATCAGGGGAGGTGACGACAACTGATGACGAGTATACAGACATATGGCTGGTCCTGTAAAAAGTCACCCTGTAAAATGACCTTTTAAGTAATTGGTTGGTCTTTATGCCCTGCCCCAGTAATCCTGCGGTCTTGTGCTTTAAAAAGCTTTGCTACACGTGTAATAAACTGAGTTCTTGCTTGCTTGACTTGACTCCCCGATGCGTCTGTCTCCGGGATCGGGAGGCTGCGGAACGGGCGAGCAGCGCACTTACCTTTCTTTGGACCCAGTCCATCCTTGTTTGGGTGGACTAAGACCCCACAAGAGAGATCTTCCATCTAGTGGGTTCACTCCCCAGATGGCCACAATGGCCAGGGCTGAGCAGGCCAAAACCAGGAGCCAGCAGAATCTTCCAAGTCTCCCACGTGGGTGCAGGGGCCCAAGCACTTGGACCATCTGCTGCTTTTCCCAAGCCATTAACAGGAAGCTGGATTGGAAGTAGAGCAGCTGAGTCACAAACCAGCACCTATATCAGGTGCTGGGGTAGCAGCTTTACCTGCTGGGTTACAATGCTGGCCCCCAGAGAATTTTTTTAAAAGATTTCTTTTTCTCTTTCTTTTCTTTCTCCTCCTTCCTTCCTTTCTTCCTTGCATTTTTCCATTTTTCTTTCTCTTTTCTTTCTTCCCTTTCTTTCTTTTCTTTCTTTTTATTTCTTCCTTTCTTTTTTCTTTTTCTGACTATTTGTAGACACTAAGCTATAAATACCTGGAATTCCAGAGGTTCTGTTCTTGGTTCCCCTGTGACTGGGGCCAGCTTGTCCAGCCAGTTGTCCAGGAAGACTCTCAAGCCCTGAACAGGACAAAAGTAACCCCTGCAGACTGGGTTTCCCTTCCAGGAACCTTTCAAATTTCCATCTTGTGCACGAGGTCAACCAGATGCAGCACAGAGCACCAGGACTCCTGTTTGTTAAGTCACCTTGGGGCTCAGGTCTGAATCTTGTTTCCTGGAAGTTTACAAAGGTAGAGAATCACTGCCGTCTAGACAGCTTATTTCTTTCACATGGAATTGAAATGTTCATGTATTGCATGAGATCAGGCTTTCAGAATGGCCCTGACAAGCTGATGGTGTGTGATGCTCATTCACATCAGGCACAGTGTAAGCACAGGGCTCTGGGTCCCTGTCAACAAATTTATGGTTGTCTTGTTTGTGCTTGTGTGTTGGATCTCATGTTAAAATCATTTGTCAGATCTGACACATCCACACCTTGTCCATGAAGCTCCCTCTAGTCTGTAGTATCTGGGGGTGGAAACAGATATACTTCCCCCTGTGGATCCCCCACACTGGCACCCAGGGCATCATTACCTGCCTTGGGTCCCACATCTTGTGTGAGAGAGTATTCTGGGATGGTTGCCCCTATCCCATCAAAAGGCTTCTGAGATGGTTGCTATACAAAACCACAGGGCTCTCCTTATCAACACCCTTTTCAGCCTCCTATAGTTGTGGTCATGTTGGAGAAGGGACAGCCATTCTTTCTTGGAGTGGGATCAGTGTTCTCCTTCTACCTATGGCCTCTTGTCTTCCTTTAATGGCAGTGTATGTAAGGCAGGTGTGTGCTCAACACTGAAGGGCATCACATTCCAGGCTTAAATTAATCCTAGGGGCTGGGGCTGTGACATAGAGGATAGGGCCGCTGCTTGCAGTGTCGGAATCCCATATTGGGTGCCAGTTCATGTCCTGGCTGCTCCACTTCTAATCAGCTCTCTGTCATGGCCAGGGAGAGCAGTGGAAGATGGCACAAGTCCTTGGGCTCCTGCACCTGTGTGGGAGACCCAAAAGAAGCTCCTGGCTCCTGGCTTCGGATCGGCAGCTCTGACCATTGTGGCCATCTGGAGGGTGAACAGCGGATAGAAGACTTCTGTCTCCCTCTGCCTCTGCCTCTCTGTAACTCTGCCTTTTAAATAAATAAATAATAATAATAATAATAATAATAAAGCCTAAAGAGTTTAGGAGAAGACATAGTCCGAAGATGTCTTGCTTTGCTTTAACAGTCTAAGATCCTTAAAGATTTATTTTTTTAAATTAAGAGAGAAAGGTCTTCCATCCGCTGGTTCACTCCCCAATTGGCTGAAATGGCCAGAGCTGTACAGATCTGAAGCCAGGAGTCAGGAGCTTCCTCCAGGTCATCCCACACAGGTGCAGGAGCCCAAGGACTTGGGCCATCTTCCCCAGCTTTCCCAGGCCACAGTATAGAACTGGATCAGAAGAGGAGCAGCTGGTACTCAAACTGGCGCCCATGTGGGATGCTGGCACTGCAGGTGGTGGCTTATCTGCTACACCACAGCGCCAGCCCCAGAATTGTAACTTTCAGTGGATGAAATAACAGTTATCCTTGAATTTTATACCTAGCTAAACTATTATCCAGGAGTGAGTGTAAATAGGGACAATTTTTGGGCATAGGATATTGAGAAATTTTGAAGATTTATTTTCTTTCTTTCTTTCTTTCTTTCTTTCTTTCTTTCTTTCTTTCTTTCTTTTTGACAGGCAGAGTTAGACAGAGAGAGACAGAGAGAAAGGTCTTCCTTCCATTGGTTCACACCCCCCCCCCCACAACGGCTGCTACGGCCTGCATGCTGTGTGGATCTGAAGCAAGGAGCCAGGTGCTTCCTCCTGGTCTCCCATGCGGGTGCAGGGCCCAAGGACTTCGTCCATCCTCCACTGCCGTCCCGGGCCACAGTAGAGAGCTGGACTGGAAGAGGGGCAACCGGGATTGAATCCGGCACCCTGAATGGAAGTAGAACCCAGGTTACCGGCACCGCAAGTGGAGGATTAGCCTAGTGAGCCATGGCGCCAGCTAAGATATATTTTCTTATCTGAAAGTCAGAGTCAGAGAGAGAGAGGGAAATATCTTCCATCCACTGCTTCACTCCCTAAGTGGCTACAATGTCTGAGACTGAGCCAGATTGAAGCCAGGTGCCAATAGCTTCCTCCAGGTCTCCCACATGGGTGTGGTGGGGGCCCAAAAACTTGGGCCATCTTCTGCTGCCTTTCACAGTCCATTAGCAGGGAGCTGGATTGGAAGTTGAGCAGCTGGGACATGAACCAGTGCCCATAAGGGATGCCAGCACTGTAGGTGGTAGCTTCCTCTGCTATGCCACAATGCCAGCCCTGGAAATTATTTTTTGGAATGCATTTCTGGAAAAACAAAATTGATCTCACAAACAAGCAGAAACGCAAGAGAGACAATATCTCTGAAGTAACCTCTAACTCATAACAGCTACTAAAAATAATTTTTAGAAAAATGAATATATTTCTTACATATATGTACAAAATTTGAAACTGATTACTATAAAAGCACAAATTTTTCAGTACACGATGAATATGTAATAATATAAAAATGATTATAAGATTCTATAATAAGTAGACTATATATAAAACCAGAGAAAAATTCTTTATTCTGTGATGATTGAGGGTTTCCAATTCCTTAGTGTAGGGAAGCTAGGGATTAATATCAGAAATATTATATATCATCTTTATCTCTCTCTCTTTTCCTCTCTCTCTCTCTCTTGCTCATCTTTCTCTCTTACATACACACACACATACACAGAGTGAGTCTACAATCACTGTCATTAATGCATTATTTTTTAAAGAATATTATTCAGCTACTATTTGTGTCAACATCAATCATAGTAGGCATTAATAATGTTCAAATCAAAACTCTGGAAATTATAATATGTGCTAACTCTCTTTCTTGTTAGTGAACAAGATACTTTGCAGCAACAGGTCGTATATCCTTGTCAAATTTATTGCCTAAGTGACTAAACAAAACATATTGGGACCAGCATCATGGATAAGTGGATAAAGCTACTGCCTGTGACACAAGCATTCCATATTGGAGCTGGTTGGAGTCTTGGCTATTCCAATTCCATTGCAGCTCCCTGCTAGTGGCCTTGGAAAAGCAGCAAAAGATGGTCCAATTGTTTAGTGGCCTGTTCCTACAGGGGAGACCCAGCTGAAGCTTTTGCTTCCTGGCCTCAGGCTGGTTCAGCCTGGTTCAGCCCTGGCCATTGTGGCCATTTAGCTAATGAACCAGTGGATAGATTATCTCTCTTCTGGTGTCTCTCCCTCTCTCTATGTAGTTCTAACTTTCAAATGGTGTCTCTCCCTCTCTCTATGTAGTTCTAACTTTCAAATGAATAAATAAATCTCTAAAAACAATATATCCACACCTTAATGTTGCATATTTTTGCATCTTTCTGATTCAACATGATTCATCAAAGATCATGTTTAGTACCTTCCTCCTGCAATCCTCTCAGTGTCTTGACATATGATTAAGCTAGAGAAGTGCCAGGACACAACTAGTTATTATATTTACTGGATTTTTTTCTAGTCTATAGGTCAGTCACCTTAAGGAAATATTCCATATCTCATTAATAATCTTCTCTCAGCTAGCCTTACACCTGTAATTCTATCCTACTACTACAAATATAATTGTTCTTTAAACTTTTCTTAACATTTTTGGAAACATCAATTAATTTCATATGTTAGTCTTCTTGACATTATTGTTACAGTTTTTTAAAAAAATTAAATATATTTATTGTAAAAATTAAAAGAAAAAATAAAAATTCTCATATGCAGAATGGCCCCCAAAAGATGTTCACCCACTAATCCCTGCTCTTTTATATT